TGCTGAAAGGCCTGGAACCAGGGGTATTGCTGAGTCCAAAGAAGCAAGAACAATCTTCCTTATTCAGTCTACTGATTCAAATGTCAATCTCTTGCAGAAACACCCTACCGTACACAGCCAGAAATAATGTTTTACCTCTATCTGGGCCTCCCATAGCCTAGTCAAGTTGACACATAAATTTAACCATTATATATCACTTCTGATAGCAGCAGAGGTAGCAGCTGCCCTAGCAGAACAGTTCTGTGGTGTTGTCTGCACCATTCCCAGGGGTCTTGACCAGAGCTGCTTCTCCAGCCTTTCCCAATTTGTGTAAGCACCCAATTCCCTGTAATAAATCCCTTTCGGTTTAAAAGGATAGTTTGTTTCCTACAAATAGACCCTGACTGATAACATTTATTAGACATTGATTGCTGCATTAAATTTGCAATTCTTTGCATTCATCATATGTAAGTTCTAACACAAAGTAAGCTGTCAAAGTCTTCCTGCATGCCTGTACAAAAGTGATGATTGCCTTTTCTTCTGATAGTGGCTAACATTAATGCCCAGTAGAAATCAAGAAAATACAAATTGCCAGCTCGGCGCCTGTGGCTCAAGCGGCTAAGGCGCCAGCCACATACACCTAAGGTGGCAGGTTCGAATCCCCAGCCCGGGCCCGCCAAACAACAATGATGGCTGCAACCAAAAAATGGCCAGGCGTTGTAGTGGTCACCTGTAGTCCCAGCTACTTGGGAGGCTGAGGCAGGAGACTCGCTTGAGCCCAGGAGTTGGAGGTTGCTGTGAGCTGTGATGCCATGGCACTCTACCCAGGGGGATAGCTTGAGACTCTGTCTCAAAAAAAAGAAAATACAAATTGCTATGCCAGAAATCCTAGCACTCCGAGAGGCCAAGGCAAGTGGATTGCTTGAGCTCATGAGTTTGAGAACAGCCTGAGCAAGAGTGAGACCCTGTCTCTACTAAAAATAAAAAACTGGGGCAAGAGGATCTCTTGAGCCCAAGAGTTTGAGGTTGCTGCAAGCTATGACACCATGGTACTCTACTAATGGCAACAAAAAGAAAAGAAAAAAGAAATACAGAAAGTGATAATAAAGTAAGCCCAAATGCCCACCACCCAGAGATGACTTCCATTCTTATTTTGTTGAGCATTTTTTAATACATCAAATAGTGCATTTCAATATGTGCCAATTGCATGCACACTTACATGTGTTACTGGGGTGTTCCCCTGCACAGTTCAGGGTGCAATTGCTGTGGCTCAGTTCTTGCTACTCTTACACTGACCTCCCCTAACACACACACACATCATTTTACTTAAATGGCATTATACCACATATCTTCTTTCCTACCATGCTTTATTTTCAAACTCAATAGTAAGTCATGGACGCCTTTCGATGGCATGGTATTTTTGAGAAATTGGTTTGGTGATGAGGCAAGTAATTATAAGCATTTTATCACTAACTGTCTGTGTGCTCACCAGCCAGATTTAAACTCCACTAATGGAAGTTTTGTGTTCATTAAAGAGAACATATAGAACTTTATTTCTAACTCAGGGGTGATGGATCTGTCCAATACATAATTATTTCCCAACTGACCACCCCTGAGCTGTGTCTTTGGGGTAGAATTCACATAAAGTCAGGTCTAGAGGTCAGGGACAGGTCACAAGTGAGAACAGGAAGAGTGAGATGAGTGCCTAGGGTGCTGGGCCTAGAAGGAACTTGCCAGGTTGTCATCAGCCTCTACTTGCATTCTTTTAGTGACAGAGAATCACCACTTTACCAAGACAGCCCATTAGCCAACTTCGCCCTGAAGGAGCTCCACTGATTCACAAAGTCTTTCCCACTTAGAAATCTAGACTCTATCTTCCTGAAGAATCCAATTGTATCAACTCATGCTCTTCCTTGGTCATCCTGTAGAGAAGTGGAGTCAGCGCTCCCAGGCCCTGTGAGTCCCCTGTTCTCCCATTCCCTCCTGAACACACCCTCTGAGGACACAGAGTCACCAATTCAAACACACTCTCTTACCCACCTCCCAACAGGAGCCTCCCTCCTCCTCCCCAGAAGTCTTACTCCCAAATACTAAGTTGGAGTCTATTGACTTGTTTCCTGTGGGAATGGAGGGATTTCAAGGTGGCTTTTCCACTGTCTGGAAAGAAAAGCCACTTCACACTGGTTCATAAATATAAAAAACCCATAACTTCCAAGAGACAATATGGGAAATAGAAACAGCTTCCAAAATGTCTGAGGCAGATTTATGGAGACAGAGTCACCATGGCTGCCAGTTTTTTGAGATTATTCTGGTGCCAGAGCACCTCTCTCCTGATGCCCTAGGACCTACCTCCAGTTCTCTTCAATACCTAGCCTTGACCTCTCACAATGGACTTGCTGATACCCCAGTGTTTTGACTCACAGGTGTAGCCAACTCAAGCACTTAGCCGGGTGCAGGGCAGGGCTCATGAGCATTGAAATGGTAAGTCTCCCCACAACTCACCCTGCTGTATGTTCTGTTTTTCCTTCTGGTCTTGATATCATAGCAGAACAGAAGTCTGAGTAAAGTTTCCCAATGTCTGGTGGTGCCCATAGCTCAGTTGGCAGGGCGCCGGCTACATACACCGAGGGTGGTGGGTTCAAACACAGCCCTGGCCAAATAGCCAGGTGTTGTGGCGGGTGCCTGTAGTCCCAGCTACTTGGAAGGCTGAGGCAAGAGAGGTTTGAGGTTGCTGTGAGCTGTGACACCACAGCATTCTACCCAGGGCGACATGGTGAGACTCTGTCTCACCAAAAAAAAAAAAAAAAGTTTCCCGATCTCCAAAGTGGATTTTACATAAATTCAATGGTTCAGCTGGGCTTTCTCTATACTTTGGGATCTGTTAAAAATCATATTAAACTGGGGCATCATGCAGGGGTGGGGGGTGAAGTCACCAAGCCCTCCCTACCCCACCCTCTCTTACTGTACCTAGGGCTGTGCCTGAGAGTGGAGTTCACCTTCCTGGTTTAGAGGGGCAGGGGATGATGTGGATGCGAGTCTGTGTGACAGGCTCTGTCGTCGTGACAGTGAACAATGTCTAACATCGACTGAGCACTTGCTCTGAAGCAGGCAGTGGGCTCAACCCTTCCCGAGTATGAGTGTTGCCTTTACCTTTGAGCAGCTGTGGGAGGTGGGTACTGTTATTTGCTCCACTCTGTAGAGGAGATAAGCATCACACAAGTTCATTCACAGAACTACTCAAGGCCCCACGGTGAGGGTAGCAGGGGTGGAGCTGAGCCCCGTAACTCCAGGGTCCTGCTACCACCATCCCCAGGACTGTACATGCCACCCTGCCGGCACCCATGGCAATGCTGCAAGGCAGGTGTGATTATCTCCATTTTCCACAGGAGGAACTTCGGGCTCAAGGTGGCAGTTAAGTAACCTGCTCAGACCTCACGGCTAGGAAGTGGCAAAGGCAGGACAGATCAAGGCCTCCCGACACCAAGAGAATTCTGTCCTCAGAAAGAATGAGGTAGATCGGTGAGGTGGAACAAGGAACTTTTTATTCTCCTATTGGACTGGGAGCCTCTTAAGGTCAGGGACAGTGTGGGATTCAACACCCTCTCCCTTTGGGCCCCCAGCTGGCCCCACACAGGATATCATAAGGCCCTGTGTGCTGGGAGGATTCCGTGCCAGTGGCAGGCAGACCATAGCATCTGGCCTGAGGAGGGGAGCGGTGGGGGGGCAGTCCCGTGCAGCCTGGGGGTCCAGGGAACTGAATGACACTGCAAAACACAGACCGGGGTCCAACGGCCTGGCTGCAGAAGGGAAGCTCTGAGCCATGAAGGGCAGGGACCAGATGACAGGGCACAGCTGGCCACTGGGAGGAGCCCTCCTTGGGCCTCAGCGTGGCTGCTAGGCTGGCGGCTACTGCCTCGTTCACATAACCCTTCCACATGTCATCGCTGGCCCTTCTTCATAGGCTCTGTGGGAAGCCTGGGGACACAAACCCTGCTGGGAGAAGCCAGCAGAAAGCAGCCCAGCAAACATGAAAGATAAGCTCAGCTTGGTGCAGTCCCGAGGGGGTGAGGGAGAAGCCCATGGGGATGTGGCCAGGGAAGGCTCTCCCAGGGGGACATCTGAGCAGGGAATAGCAGCAGGGGAAGGACAGGTTATAAGAGGCTCTGGGGAGAGGACACTTGGGGTGAAAAGACCTGCAAGTGCAAAGGCCCTGAGGTGCAACCAAGGAGTCTATAGGCGACCAAGGTGGCCAGCACAGAGAGAAAGAGGGAGTATGGCACGAGATGGTCATTCTGGGGGACTACAATAGCAGGGGGAAGAAAGCCCCCCAGTTGTCCTAGACTCAAGCCTCTGCCCCATAGCAGCCTCATCATGTGACTGGATCAGGCCTTCTCTGCCAGCCTGGGCCTCCTTGGCACAATGATTGGGTGGCTTCCCAGGGTCCCCAGTTTCCTTACCCCTGAACTCCCATCCCTCACCATTCCCATTACCCCCTGGACTCCAAGAGCCACCAATGGCATCTTCCCCATTGGGCTCCCAGAAAGCCTCAGAGCTTCCACTGTAGTCCCGGGACACAGGAGCTGGGGCAGCGGAAGGAAATTCTCACACACACAGCTTTCTCCCAGGAGTTTGCTTGAGTTCCCAGGCTGACAACTGGCAACCCTCAGGACTCTGTCCCCCACCCTCTCCCTCCTCCTCCTCCCTCTGCTCTCCCCTGCCCCCCTTCTCAGCTTAATGACTTCCACATGGGCCTCTGGCGGCTGGAGCCAAGCCTCCCAGCATTGTCTGAAATCTCCAAATTTAGAAGAAATATGAAAATTGTCAACCATTCCTTCCTTAGGGGGTAAAAGCAACATTCGGCACGAGGGCAGGTCAAGGCGCGGCTGTCACGTGGTGGGTGCCCAGGCCAATGGGGGCCCTGGGAGGACACAGCACTTGCCTCACCCCAACACTGGGCTCGCCCTTCAGCTCATATAAGGTAAAAGGCAGCCTGGACTCTGTGGCCAGGGAGCCGCGGGCAAGGGGCTGAGGGGAGGGGGACCTGGTGCCAGTCGCTTAAAAGTGCCCCTGTGGCAGTGAGGGGCACCAGAGGCCGCGTCAAGTTAGTTGAGAAGCAGTGACACCCCCCAACCACGCCCCAGACAGGCTGGCCCCCATCTCCAAGCCCCAAGGAGCCACACCTGGACCAGGCCTCCAGAAAGGTAAGCACTGGCTGTAGATCTGAGATCCGTGAATGGGGGTGCCTCTGAAGCACTTCCCCCGGGAATGCTGTGTCTGGGGGTCTTGTCCTTGCTCTCTTCCTAACTGCTCTCTGGTTCTCAGTTTCCCCATCTGTACAAGGGCTGGACTCAGTGATCTCTTAAGTGTCCACCCAAGCCCTGCCCAGCTCTACTCCTATGCCCCTGTGGGATTATGGCAGTCCTTGCTGCTGTGGTTAAGTGAGGGAAGAAGGGACAGAGGGAGTGGACAGAGTTAATGTCCTGCCAGCCTGAGCTTCACCACCGTGCGGAGTCCGGGCCAGTCTCCCTGGCTTCCATGCAGACCGGGCTTCTTCCTTATTATCTGGGGCTTTGATTTCACAGCTCCAAGAGCCTGGGGCTCCTGGCAAGGAAAACTGTTTTCAAATAATGGTTTCAAGAAACAAACCTGGGGGAGAAACAGATACAAGTTCAGGCTCTGGTAGGTAGGAGAGAGCTGGAAAGGGCGGGTGCAGGCTGTGCACAGGGGCCTCCACTGACTGGTGGAGTCGGGGGACCTGAGCTCTAGCCCGAGCCCTTCTCTCCATGCCTGGCTATGTGGCCTTGGGCAGGCATTCTCCCCTCTTTAGGCCACAGTTTCTCCATCTGTATAAGGTGGTCGCTAGACAAAACAGTCTCTATGTAGGATGTGGTTTCTGAATTTTTTTCACCTAGGAGCAGCTGGAAGTTCCCCCAGGAGGTCCCTGAGCCAATTCTGCCCTTTGACCATGGGCTTAGATCCCAACAAATGAAGCCTATGGGAGCTTTTAGAGGTAGTGCCTGAAGTAATGGAGAGTAGCTGAAGGGTCTGTGACTGTGGGCTGGGCCAGGGGTGTATCCTGAGGCCTCCACCCGAGCTTGGCCCTGACAACACAGCCACTACTGAAGAAGAGACTTATCTCTGGAATCAGTGACGTAGGAGTGCAGGATATCAGAGTAGGGTAGGGACAAAAAAAGGTGGGAGAAGGCTTCCAGGGTGTGAAGTGGTGGGACAGGGGACCAGAGGAAGGCAGGAGACTTGTGACAGGCACTGTGAGGAGCAGGGCTGGGTAGAGGCAGGGCTTAGGATGGGAACAAGAAGATGTGCAGTCAGGCTCCTCTGAACACATTCTTGCCACATCCAGGTCCCAGAACAGAATGCAGTAGTCTAGTGCCAGCCTGCCCAGCACCCTGACCTTTCTGCTTCTGGTCACACAAGGCCCAAGATCATAATGGTCCAGGAGAAGGTGCAGAATCTGACTGTGTGGGTCCAATTTTAGCTTGTTTACTTATTAGACAAGTGACCTTGGGCAAGTCACCTGCCATCTTAGAGCCTCGGCTTCCTCCTCTGTAAAATGGGTACAGAGGTGAGATTTGACCTCACATGGTTGTCATGAAAAGTAAGGGACATATGCGCATAAGAGCAGGAGAAATGAGGCTGCTGTTTCATTGCAGTTAGACCCCATACCTCTCATGGGACAAAACGATCTTAGCTATGTGAAGGGAGAAGTGGGAATAAGACCCATCCAGGGGACACCCAGAGTTGCTAAAGAGACAACAGGCTTTGGCAAGAGGCAGGAGGAATCCAGAAGTCAGAGGTTAAGGGTTACAGAAGAACGATCAGTTTGATGTGCCTGAAGGACTAAGTGGGGTTTTCTTTACTGCCTTTAGGGCATTGTGTGGGCAATGTGTGCCCCAAAGTATGGTGCCTGAACCACTGCACACTGATCTCCTAACAAGGCATCCTGGGTGGAGCCTAGGAATCTGCATAACAAGCTCCCTGGGAGATCTCATGTACATAGAAGTTTGGGGAGTACTGAGCTGTACAGCGGGCTAGGATCTGCCCACACAGCCCAGGCAGATGTAGCCACAGAAGGAAAGCACAGCTCTAGGGGACTCAGTGCTGGAACAGAACCTGCCTCTCTGCCTAACCAGGGGTTGAGTTGGTGGTGCAAATAAGAATTAGATTGCTATCATTTGTGGAGTGCTTATAAAATCCATGCAGTCCCATGGTCTTTACATGAATTAATTCATTAATCCTTATAGTAAGGAAGGTGCAATTATTATCCCCATTGGGCAGATGAGGTACCTGAGTCACAGAGAGGTTAAGTAGCTTGCCTAGGGTCACACAGCTTGAGAATTATTAAGTCTAAACTGTCCCAGGCTGCTGTCTCCCCCTAGATATCTCCCACCTCCTACCCTGCCCCTTTCCCACCTTAGAGCACTCTGGGGAGCCTCCAGTGTATCTTATGGAAGGAGACAGAATATGTACAGGAGACTTCCCAAGATTCAGGTACCAGGCCGAGTCGTTTGCTTTACGCTTTAATCTTCCCAGGATTCCTGTAAGGCAGGAATTGGCCTCATTCTATCACCTCAGTTCATAGACAAGGTAGTCACTGCAGCTAACCCGAGGTCATGCAACTAGAAAGTGGCAAAGGGATTTGAACCCAGTCTATGCAACTCAAGAATGCATGTCTTAGACCGCCCACCACTCTCTCAGGGCAGTGATAAAGAATCCTCTTCTGCAGAAGAGACTGAGGCTGAGAGGAAGGTCATGTCCAAGCCTGACCACAAGTCTTCTAGCCCTGCCACTGCCCCAGAACAGATAGGAGTTTGTCACTGATCCCTGGGAGCCACACAACAACTCTTTGGGGCAAAAATCAGCCCCTTCCCAGTCTGGCCAGCTCTGGGAAACTGCTGACATATATAGCCCTAAGGAATAGAAAGTTCTAAAGCCCATGGCTGTGTGACTCCCCATGTGAGCCCAAGGGGCCCAGGGAGATGACCATGACCAAGCGCTGCCTCCTCCTGCAGTCTTCCAAGCACTTCCAGTGGTCGGGGCACAGGGCCGTGGGGTAGGGCAAAGAACCACGGCAAAAGCTATTTCAGATTATTGTCCTTATGACCATTTTTGTCTCCAGGTACCCATAAGCCAGAGTTTCTGTGGGGCTCACACCTAGAGGGGGTTTGCTGGGGCCTGGGCTGCACACCTGTCAACTTTACAGGAGAGGAGAGCCCCAGATTATTTTCCAAAGTGGCTGAACCAAGCCACACTCCCACACTCCCAAGGCAGTGTATGAGCCTTCCTCGCTCCTTGACCACACTTGAAACAATCAGATTTCTTGAACCATATGTGTTACACACTTTATTTTGAATGTATCAAACTTGTATAATAAAAACGTAAGGAAGAAATGGAAATAAAAACATATGCTGCTAGGCGCCTGTGGCTCAAGTGGCTAAGGCGCCAGCCACGTACACCCAAGGTGGCAGGTACAAATCCAGCCTCGGGCCCGCCAAACAACAATGATGGTTGCAACCAAAAAAAAAAATAGCTGGGCGTTGTGGCGGGGGCCTGTAGTCCCAGCTACTTGGGAGGCTGAGGCAGGAGACTCGCTTGAGCCCAGGAGTTGGAGGTTGCTGTGAGCTGTGATGCCACAGCACTCTACCCAGGGGGATAGCTTGAGGCTCTGTCTCAAAAAAAAAAAAAATATGTGTTAGCTGGGTGTTGTGGCAGGCACCTGTAGCTCCAGGTACTTAGGAGGCTGAGGCAAGAGAATCACTTAAGCCTAAGAGTTTGACGTTGCTGTGAGCTGTGATGCCACGGCACTCTACCCAGTACAACAGAGTGAGACCCTGTCTCAAAATATATATATGTGTGTGTGTGTGTCTGCAGGATGCTACGTTCCTGTCCACATGAATATCTAGAAATTTGCCCTACATAGGCTGAGTTGCAGAGTGCCCTAATCACAAGCACAAAAGCCCTGGGGTGGGAGTGAGCACAGCTCACATGGCCCTCCCCAGCCCTGCAGTATGCAGTGGCCACAGTCCAGTGAGAGGTCACCCAAGGGGTGAGCTGCAGGAATTTGGGGGAAGAGCCCACACTGGCTGCTGCTAGTGGCTTGTCTAGACAGGCCCCACAGGGCTTCACCACACATTGTGAGAGCTGAGAGCTGCGGCCAGCCCCTTACCCGCTTGCAAAAGAGGCTTTGGCAGCAGCCAAACCACCAGAAACCTTTTCTCCAATTCAAAGCATGCCTTAATGCACAGCATGAATTACCCACCCTTGGGGCCTACAGAGACCAGCTTATCAGGCTCCTTTCTGTTTCAGTGAAGGAAGCCAAGGGGGTCTCAGCTGTGGAAGGGATCCCTATGCCCAGGTGATGAAAGGACCAGGTGGTTCAGAGGCAGTAGGCTGGCAGTTCAAGATGCCTAAGTTCGAATCCTGGCTCTGCTTTATACCAACCGTGGGACCTTGGGCAACTTACTTAGGTTCTCTGTGGTTCACTCACCTCATTTGTAAAACAAGGATGTTAAGAGTTGGGTCTCATTAGGTTACTGAGTTGCCTGGTTTAACTCATTGAGCGAGTTAATGAGTTAGAATTCATGGAGCCCTTAAAACAGAGACTGACGCTTAGTAACTACTCAATAAAAAATAACTGCTAAAATATGGTTACTAAAGGCAACTTCTGCCAGGGGAAGAAGTTCTCTCAGCTGAGCTCCAACTTTTCTTTGGACCTTGGGGGATAAACGGCATTCTTCCTTCAACACTTGGAGCTGGGTGTGGTGATAAGTGCCTTTAGTCCTAGCTGACGCTGAGGTAGGAGGCTCGCTTGAGCCCAGGAGTTCAAGGCTGGGTCTAGAAGTTTGAGGCTGCAGTGGAGCTATAATCGTACCAGCCTAAGTGACAAAAACCCCATCTCAAAATAAATAAAGGCTCGGCGCCTGTGGCTCAAGCGGCTAAGGCGCCAGCCACATACACCTAAGGTGGCGGGTTCTAATCCCCAGCCTGGGCCTGCCAAACAACAATGATGGCTGCAACCAAAAAAATGGCCGAGCATTGTGGCGGGCACCTGTAGTCCCAGCTACTTGGGAGGCTGAGGCAGGAGACTTGCTTGAGCCCAGGAGTTGGAGGTTGCTGTGAGCTGTGAT